CAGTATAGGTTGGAGCATAATAACAAAAGAATAACCACATTTAATCAGTTAATTAATTTGCTCCAAGTTGCTGAAAGACAAAATCAAGTTCTCTTGAATAACAATGCCAGACCAGTTGGGACAAAGAAAATTCCCGAGGTCAACTATGGCAAAGAAAACACTGGAAAGCACCCTAGTGGAAGAGGAGAGGGTCGTACTCGAGGAAGGGGGCGCAACAATCGCGGCGGGCGCGGTGGCCGAGGTACGGGCCGTGGAGGATTTTCCAAAGTGTGGAAGAAAGATACAAGCGGCGGGACCAGTGGTCAAACTAACAAGGTCCATAATGCACCATCAAAACCTCCAGTCAAACGAGACAGAGCTGGGGAAGAACCATGCTACAGATGCGGAGTTTCAGGTCATTGGTATAAGAATTGCCAAGCCAGTAATAGAGTTGCTGCTGCCTACAAGAAATACAGAGAATCAAAGGAGCATGAATCTCAGTTTGTGACAGACGAAGGAAATGAGGTTGATGTTAACCTCAGAGTGGCGGATTTTGGTGTAAAAAATAACACCACCCATTCGGTCGATGCACCGGACTTTGATTAAATTTCCCCTATCCCACCAGACATTTTAAACAAACTTTATGTTTTTCCCATTCCTTTTAATTTCCTGCTTATGGACATTACATGCTTATCGTTATTTTAATAATTGGATTCAATTTTTGAAATCCAAATATATACCAACAATTATCTAATGCATGTTTACACAGGAATGACCCGAGGAGAACTCGAATGTTTAGTCGATAGTGGGGACAACCCACACTATCCTGAGACATAGACAACTTTTTATTCAATTAGTAACCTATAAATCCTCTGTGACTATGATGATTGGATCATCGAACGTAATACAAGGGCGAGGCACTGCCAAATTTATGCTACCTAACGGTACCACATTCCACGTCACAGACGCTCTATATGCACCTAGAGCTACTCGAACTTTATTAAGTTTTAAAGATATACGGGATAATGGTTTCCACGTTGAAACTCATAGTGAGGATGAGATAGAATACCTATATATTACCTCTAGTAAAAGCGGAAGAAACGCATATTAGAAAAATTAATGAGTCAATCTAGTGGACTCTATGTCACTACTATTTGAATCTTCGAATCATATGCGATCTCCAACAATGAAATGTTGGACATAGACTCGTATAGGCTTTGGCATGATCGCCTTGGTCACCCCGGTCGTGACATGATGATTCGAATTCTCAAGAATTCACATGGACACCCTTTCTTTCGAGAAAGGCATAAAGAAGGGCGAAAAGTCAGCACAGTACAAACTGTTAACCATGTGGCTCCTCCACAAGGACAATTATCTTCTAAAGCACAAGAAGAACTAGCCTATGCTTCCCTAACTATGTCCACATTACAAAACTCATTTTGCAAAGCCTACCCCTTAGCAAAAACAGGATCGAGACCATCCTATGCTAAAGACACAAAACAAAACATCCCATTCTTACAAAGAATTCAAGGAGACATATGTGGACCGATCCATCCAGAATGCGGACCATTTAGATACTTTATGGTTCTGGTGGACGCATCGACCCGTTGGTCGCATGTTACCTTATTGTCCACAAGAAATGCTGCATTTGCAAAACTCCTAGCACAAATAATTCGCTTAAGGGCCCACCACCCCGATCATCCTATAAAGTCTATTAGACTTGATAATGCTGGAGAGTTTACATCAAAGACATTTGATGACTATTGCATGTCTATCGGGATCGACATAGAGCATCTCGTTCCCCATGTACACACACAAAATGGTCTCGCAGAAGCTACTATTAAAAGATTACAAACAATAGCTAGGGCATTGGTTATGCGCACCAACTTGCCTATATCTGCATGGGGATATGCAATATTACATGCAACCTTACTTATTCGCTTTCGGCCTACTGCGAACCAACCATTTTCTGCATACTAGTTGGTAACTGGATATGAGTCTGACATTTCACACTTACGCATATTTGGTTCTGCAGTCTATGTGCCAATTGCGCCACCACAGCGCACCAAAATGGGTCCTCAAAGGCGATTAGGTATATACGTTGGATACGAATCCCCAACAATAATCCGTTATCTAGAACCTTTGACAGGCGATCTTTTCACCGCAAGATTTGCGGATTGTCACTTTGATGAGACAACATTCCCGTCGTTATGGGGAGATAAGAAAAAGGATTTTCCCGAAGAACGACGTGAATTATCCTGGTGTGTTCCTACACTGTCTCATTTTGATCCCCGCACCTCACATTGTGAAAGTGAAGTGAAAAGAATAATAGACCTACAAAATGTAGCAGACTCAATGCCTGATGCATTTTCTGGTATTGCAAAAGTGACAAGATCACACATACCACCTGTAAATGTGCCTGCAAGGTTAGAAGTCCCCAAGGGAGGGCACAATGCCATAGTAGGAGGCACTGCAACCACACTTAGTGGAGGTGTGGTTGAGGCCGTGGCTCCTCAAAGGAAGAGAGGAAGACCACTCGGTTCGATTGATACTCGTCCAAGGAAGAAGAGGACGAGTACGGCACAACCTAATCCATTAATCATCGATGAACAACATCCATCACATGAGATTATCTCCGATTATAGTTATGTCCATGAATCATTACTGGAGGACGCTCCGATGATCGAAATGATTCTAGAAAACAAGGAAATCTCTATGGATTATGAAAATGCACATGTGCTAATGGAAAGATCTTCCATACACATCGATGATATATTTGCATTTACAGTTGCTCAAGAAATTATAGAGCATGATGATATCGAACCTCGCTCTGTGGCAGAATGCCAACAAAGAGCTGATTGGCCTAAATGGAAAGAAGCAATCCAGGTCGAATTAGATTCCCTGACAAAAAGGCAGGTATTTGGTCCGGTAGTGTTAACCCCACCAAGTGTAAAGCCTGTAGGACATAAATGGGTATTTGTCAGAAAGCGTAATGAGAAGAATGAAGTCTTAAGGTATAAGGCTCACCTAGTGGCGCAAGGTTTCTCACAACGCCCTGGGATTGACTACGAGGAGACCTACTCTCCCGTAATGGACGTTATCACGTTCCGATACCTAGTCAGCTTAGCAGTTTCTGAAGGATTGGAAATGCAATTGATGGATGTGGTTACTGCATATCTCTATGAGGATCTTGATTCAGATATATATATGAAAGTACCCGACGAACTTTCACTACCTAAATCAAGTGACTCTAAACCGCGGAGTGGGTTTGCAATAAAATTGAAACGCTCACTTTACGGATTAAAACAATCCGGGCGGATGTGGTATACCCGCCTAAGTGACTACTTGATTAGGAAGGGATACAAGAACGATGAGCTTTGCCCCTGCGTATTCATAAAGAAAACGAGTTCCGGATTTGCAATCATAGCTGTATATGTCGACGACATGAACATGATCGGCACTCTTGATGAAATAAGAGAAACCGCAAGCTATTTGAAATCCGAGTTTGAGATGAAAGACCTTGGGAAAACTCGATTTTGTCTAGGCCTTGAATTAGAACATCGAGTTTGTGGAGTATTAATCCACCAGTCTGCGTATATCCAAAAGGTACTCAGGCGATTTAACATGGATAAAGCGCACCCTGCTAGCACTCCCATGGTGGGCCGAAGTCTAGATCCTAAAAAGGGTCCATTTCGTCCAAAGGAAGATGATGAGGAGGCATTAGGAGCTGAAATTCCATACCTAAGTGCAATAGGCACATTATTGTACTTAGCACAATGCACTCGGCCCGATATAGCATTCTCAGTGAACTTGTTAGCTAGATTTAGCTCTGCGCCTACGCAACGTCATTGGAACGGTATCAAGAATATCTTTAGATATCTTAAAGGGACCAGTGACTTGGGACTGTTCTTTCCCTACGGAGAGACGAAGAAAACCACAAAGGAGTTGTGGTCACAAAGGACAAAATGGTCACCCCCCTGAAAACCCCAAATGATGTCTTGGTAGGTTTTGCTGATGCTGGGTACCTCTCCGACCCTCACAAAGGCCGTTCCCAAACTGGCTATGTTTTCACAGTCGGGAACACGGCGATATCCTGGAGATCAACTAAGCAAACCCTTGTGGCTACCTCCTCGAACCACTCAGAGATCATTGCTCTACATGAGGCGGTCCGTGAGTGTATATGATTAAGAGCTATCATTGCACACATTCGAGGAACTAGTGGTTTAAAGCCTACCACTGAAGAGCCAACCTGCATCTACGAGGATAATGCAGCCTGTATCGAACAAATGAAATTAGGATACATCAAGGGTGACAACACAAAACACATATCTCCTAAGTTCTTCTATAATCAGCAACAACAGGCCTTCCTCAAGATCCAAGTAAATCAAATAAGTTCGGAAGAAAACGTAGCAGACTTGTTTACCAAGTCATTGCCCAAGGCCACATTCGAAAAACATGTGAAAAACATTGGAATGCGTAAGTTTCCTGAAATCCCCTGATTAATGTAAATATCAGGGGGAGGTGTAGACTTCAGGGGGAGTCTTACACCCTCACGTTATACTCTTTTCCTTAAACCAAGCTTTATTTTTCTCCCATTGGGTTTTTGTTACTTGGTAAGGTTTTTAACGAGGTAACTGTGAGTATCGATCAAAGTAAAGAATCCAAAAGGACTCAATGAATGAAGTCCAATAAACTCTAGTCTCTTGTCAAGGTTTATTTTTCCCACAGAGTTTTTTTGTTACTTGACGAAGTTTCCACAAGGCTACAGGGAGTGCAACACTCTATCTACAACTCATCACAAAGGGGAGTGTTAAAGAAAATTACTTGTAGTGTGTTGCCATTATAGATAGAATATTCACTAATATATTATGTACTGAGCGAATGGGTCCGAGAAGCCCAACCCTTGTGTAAAGCTAATTCTCCTCTATTTAAAAAGTGTCTACCTATTGGAATAACACACTCTCTCGCTTCCCTACAACGATTAATAAGCTAATACCTAAAATTAGCGTCACAAACGGACTAAAAAAACATGAAATAATTCAATACTTGGAGAAATTTACAGCTTACGTAGTATGAAGAGCTAATCAATGCAATCTCTTTGTGGATTCGTGATAAGAGGCGAAGGGTTTCCTATTCCCAATCTGTCTCTTCTTTACCTAGGGTGAGAGGGAGACCTAATTCCAATTCGTTTTCCTCCCTCTCTCCTTCTTGATCCCTTTTCTTTGTCCGGAGGGAAAGATGGAAGAAGTTTTTTTTAGAAATATACATTTAATACTGGTTTAATTATTTTAGATTTATTAAAGGTATACACACAGGTCAAGAAGCAAAGGGTGTGCGTTAGATACGGGCTCCGCGATGGCGACTAATGGCGGGTCTCCGTCGGCTGTCCCTGACCATGTATTAACTCTGGAGGAGAAGGAGGTAGCAACTGCTGCTCCAGTTTACATGTCAATGGTCGACCCTTTTCTCATTGAGGCTCTTCAAAACCCTCGCCATCGCCTTACCAGTGAGTAATCCTCCTTAACATTGTTGGGTTTCGTTCGATTCTCGTCCCAGTTTTCACTTGTATTTTTCTTGATTTGCCTAATTCAACTTGATATGTACTTCAGTGCTTTTGAATCGTTTTGATTTTTCGAGGTGAGTTGTAGAGTTGTTCGTTAGATCTAACTAGTAGGAAGAAAGTGGCTAAAGCTGAATCTTTGGTCTTAATTCTCACTTGTCTAGCCTAATTAACTGAATTGTGTTTTTGGAGAGAGGTTTCTGATCGGAATTTTCTCTAACTTCAGGCAAAACAATTTGTCTTACTGTTTCATATCCTTATTCATTTTAACCATATCCTACCACATCATACTTTATACTCCTCCATCTTGATGTCATCTTCTAGTTTTGACTTTGCATGTTTATTAAGAAGTGTGGTTAAAAATGAAGGGTGTGTTGTTTAGGTTTGGGATGAAATAAGTGAAATAATAATAACCACATCCTTCATTCCTAAAAAGGTCCCTCCGTATTCTATTGTTTGTCACAATATTTAAGTGAAAAATAATAGGGGTAGTGAATAGTGTAGAAAAAGTAGGAGGGGGTGGAAAAGTATGAAAGAATATGAAAAATAGAAAAATCAAGGGTAATTGAGTATCCTTAAAGAGAAAACTTACCAAAAATTGAAAGTTTTGCAAAAGTTAAAATACTTCCCGAACAGGAAAGTGTGGCAAACAAAAGAATATGGAGGGAGAATTATGGGGTGGGCCAAAAAGGAAAACAAGAACATAAATTCAGGACGGGGAGAGAGTAGCGTTTCTAAGTTGCCTAGGTGGAGAAAAAGAGTTGATCATTGCAACAGAATGCTTATATTTGGTTTGAAATCATTCATGCCATCTTGGCCCCTGGTATCTATGGTTAAATTTACCTCTGGAGTAGGCATATATGAAAAACGATATGTTCCCATCATTCCAAAAAAAGACTTATGCTGGTTTAAGGTTAGGCATTTTGATGGGGAACGTACAACTTTTAAAAGTATTGGAACTGTGCTTATAAGGGTAGACATAAGTGAATGTGTTTCACTTTCATGAAATAGGAAAACATGAGTCTCAATTGGGATTGGAGGGAGTAACTGAGTGGCTGGAATGTCGCTTGTAATTTGTACTTATTTGCACATTTAATTTTACTCAAGCAGTGTTCTGTGTATTCACAACTTAAAATAATTTCAATTGAAAATTAGAACAGTGATTATCGATTTATCATGTGCTTGTCCAATGGGTATGCTATTTTATCATCTTTTTACCTAATCATTAGTTCTTATAAGCGATTCATCTCCTCTTCAGCTTCATTCTTTCACTAAGTATTTGATATCTTGTTTGACTTTTTTTGGGGGTAAAATAGAGTCCTTGACATCTTTTTAACTTTTACTGATAATTCCCCAGTTCTGCGTATGGAACTTGACATTCAGAAGTTTCTGCAAAATCCAAATTTGGAGGAGTTTGAGTTACCATCATTCCCTACTTCGTATCTCCGTCTTGCAGCCCACCGAGTTGCTCAACATTATTGCTTGCTGACTATGGTGGACACCACTGTTGATGGCCAGGGGACTCGTATTATGGTGAAGAAAAAGGTTGACTCTAAATTCCCACCAGTTTGTTTATCAGAGGTCCCACTTAAACAATCAGAGGGTGACAAACTGGACCAGATTAAAATTGTATTACGGCAAAGGCCTAGTAGAGCTTCCTTGGGAAAGAGTGATGATTTGGGAAGCCAACACAGTGCTGTGAGAACTGTTGAGGAGAGAAAGGAGGAATATGATAAGGCAAGAGCACGCATTTTTAACAGTCCAAACAGTTCTGAAACAGAAGAATCATTAGTTCAGAGTGGTTACAATGAGAATGACAGCTTAGATGAAAATGAATATGTAAGGAGCTCAATTATTGATTTTGAGAAAAATTTACGCATCAGGCCCACCAGGGAAAATAGGACTTCTAGGGTGGCCATTCTTAGGGACAGGGAGAAGGATCTTACTGATCCTGATTATGACCGAAGTTATGAAAGGTAAGCCCACTCTTAGGGTATGCTTGGAACACAGAAACTGCTAGGGAAAGGGAAAAGCTTAATAAAAGTCTTATGTTTGACTCTACCTTGGAAAATGCAAAGGAAAATCAAATATGATTTTTTTTTAAATTCTTATATTTAGAATTTGTAGCATTTTATAATTGAAATTAATGAATACAATGCTTGAACAAAACTCTAAAAAGAAATTGTCCTTAATAGGAATAATAACATTTCAAATACTACCGTATTTGAAGCAGGTTAATGCAAAATATTGCATTAAAATTTCAAGATGCAGAAAGTTACTCCTATTTAGGGGGGAAATGCAGTACTCTTATTGTTACTCCTATTGGTGCTCTATTTACATAGAGCAGTTCTAGGGGACAACAAAATTGGACATTATAGGGAGGCAAGTCTGTGATGGCACGAGTTTATTTGATAAAAATTTAAACATGTGATCATCAACCCTGGAATCTATGCCACACAGGGATATTTTCAATGAAGTCCAACCTTAATGTGTCTCTAGAATTATTCATTTATGAATGACATCATCATTCATGCCAAAACTCCATGTCTCTTGAACTTTTCTCGATACTGGTTAACAATTAAAAAAGGGAAAAACTTTCAGTTAGGCCCTCATAGTATGTCAAAAAAGTCAATTAAGCCCTCGAACCAAAAAGACACCCAATTAAGCCCATGAACTTTAGAAAAACAGTCAAATATGTAATTTAGCCTGTTAACAACCGGTGAGCTGGTTAGTATGCCTATGTGGCCGGCCACGTGTCCAATTTCATATTTTTGCTTTTCCATTTTTTCCCTGTTTGGCTACTCATTCTTTCTTCCACCGGCCCCACTTCACCTACTCTCTTCTTTCCTCGCCCGCTCCAAGCGTCTCCACCCCTGCTGTTTTCGTCGGTTTTTTTCTTTCCCCTCTCCCAGACAAATCTTCTTCAACAAGGCCAAACATTGAATTTCAATGATAGAATTTGAGTCTTTAATCAACTGGTCTTTGGCCACCAACGAGCCTTCTGATTCACCCCCCTTCTCCCCCTTTTTTCTTCCGCCCCTGCTTTTCTTCTTCTTCTTGGTTTTTCTTGTTTTTTTTATACTCCTGCATCAAGGATTGGGGCCGTCCGGTGAGGAGATCACCGACGTCTCCTCCAGCGAGCTGGGATTGAGGAACGAAGTCAACCCCATCATGCTTTGTTGGACTGAAAAGGGAGAAGCTGGATGGCAGCCGGAGCTGGTCCGGAGGGCGTAAACGAAGTTCCAAAATGCGAGCAGCAACATGATCTTCTATGCACTGGAGTACCTGAGAGATGAGCTGAGGAGGAAGATGAGGGAAGAAGAAGAAGAATGGGGACTCACTTAGGCATTTGGACCTGGAATCACTTTTAAAGGGATTCTTCTCAGGAGCCTACTGTGATCCGTAGACTAATTAAGACCATCCATAGATTAAGAATGAATGATGGAGCCAGGTGTGGAAGAAGCAAGAAAAATTGGGGAGAGAAGGGGGAAGGAAAGAGTCCAACAAAAAGAGGAGGTGAAGCAGCTTGGGGGAAGAAAAAACGGGGAAGAAGGTGAGGTGGGGCTGGTAGAAGAAAGAAAGGATTAGCGGAGTAGAAAAGGAAAAAAGGAAAAAGAAAAACAGTGAAATTGAACACATGGCCGGCCACATAGGCATATCAACCAGCTAACCGGTTGTTAACAGGCTAAATTACATATTTGACTATTTTTCTAAGGTTCGTGGGCTTAATTGGGTGGTTTTTTAGTTCGAGGGCTTAATTGATTTTTTTGACATACTATGAGGGTCTATTTTACAGTTTTCCCCTAAAACATTAATTGGGAAAATTTCCTAAATAGGAGTAAAAAAGTTTTGATATTCAAAAATACGATAGTCATGTTTTTTATTCCCTAAATTGGAGTGATTTCTGCCCAGTTTGACATTACCAGGCTTTAAACATGACAGTTTTTTTCAAACTTGGCAGAAATTACTCCTATTTAGAGAATAAAAACATGGAGGTCCTATTTTGGAATTTCAAAACATTTTTACTCCTATTCAGAGCAATTTCTAAGATTAATTCTGTGTAACTTATAATTTGAGTTGAACACTTTTACCCACCAAATGAGTGTTAAATAGCGTTTTTGTGCTTTTACCCATGTATCAGATGCTTTATTTTGGCTGAACTTTTTGGCTTTTTGCATTGCTCATGCCAACACGTTTTGGCTTTCATTTCAAATTTTGCAGATATGTTAAGAGTATTCCTGCCAATCATAGCCTTAACATGACACCTGTCAATATTCAGAAGTTCCAGCCTCCATATGTGCACTATGATTCTGCTTTTGCTCTGCCCGCTCAGATGCATAGATCTCACAGTTCGTTAAACTATAGAAACCCTATACTGAACCCTTACTGTGCGGTGGGATTAAACCAAATGTCTAATGATGTCAACATGCAATGGCCTACTCAGTCCATGATGTATGCACATTCGTATGAGCAGCTTAGCCATGTTGGTTTTCAGGTACTTGCCACCTTCCTATCTACTACTCTACTCTTTTTCTGTCTAAACAGCAAATCTGGTAAACTGTGAAGCCTCCAGTATTTGATAACCATCACTGAAATGTATGTTTTGTGTACTACTGTACTCTATATAAGAATTGTGCCATTTTGTGGCAGGGACACTTTTAATTCTGCCAGATTTAGTACATGGCAATTTTAGAATGGTAAATATTTGAGAATTATAAAAAAGATATGGGTAATTGGTTATGATAAGATTTGATAATAAGATACTAAATCGTTCATTGTCCATTGTGAGCATGTGGCTCAATTTCCATCCATGAACCATTTTTAATTCTTTTTCAAACTTGTAAAACTTGAATAAAGGGTTGCTCTCTATCACCAAAGTTATTACATGAGAATGGCTAACATTGCATGTGTAGATTATGACATCAATGAGTGCAGCAAGCAAACACACTTACCTGTGTAAGAGAATTTGCAGGAATGCTTTCTTTTATACGCGTGCACCCACCCCCACACACCACACTGCAAATTAATAGTACTATTATATGTTTAATTAATAGTACTAATGAAAGTAATCAATAACAGCCTACTAGCAATCAGTTATTGGTTTGTGTTAGTTTGTTCGATCCGTGTATTATATTAACAACTATATAGAAATGTTAAACTAATTTGATCTTTAATTGTTTTGCAGGTTCCCTTGTGTCCACATCCATTAAGTTTTGATTACTCACATCACCATTGTTGACTGCCTACCCAGTAGTATTTTTTATTTCCAGATTGAGATGGTCTGTATAACTGGATGCAATGTTTTGCCATATTTAACATAACTTTCATCTTTTGTTGGATGTTGACAATTTACATTTTCCTAGCTGCAAACATACCCTTGATGTTTCTCCTAAACTGCCAATTGGCTTTTTATGGCCTTGAATGATAGGTAAAAAACGTAAAAATCACCTGAAGTATTAAGTCAATAAATTTTCTCTTTCCGAGAATTGTGTTGCTTATATTTCATATATGCAATTCATATAACACAAATTTTTGTCATCTTAAGAAGTTTTCCATATTATTTAATGATATACATAATTTATTTTTACACAGTATATTAAGTTAGTTGTACTATTATATTTTTTTAATTTTTTGCAAGTATTATTCTGTTTTCCCTGGAGAAAATGCTACGAGTATTATTACGTCTACATAAGATAGGGGCCTATCACTAGACACCAATTCCTTTTCTCTTTGTTATTTTAGGTTTATAAGTTTATTATGAGAGACATATAAGCTGGCATTATGTTTGCTCTTTTCTGGGATTGATTGGAAGTAGGCATGGACTCGGGCTGATCCGGGCCGGGCTTTTTTTGGAATCTTGAGTCCCGGAATTGACCTGGTTAGCTACCGGGCTCGGTTCAGGCTGGGCCACCCGATAGGTACCGGGCTGGGTACCTTTTTTTTTCTTATTACTTCCTACCCCACCACCACTAGGGTGGACCGGTTCCGGTTCGGGCTTGGGCCCAGTCGGGCCTCGGTTCATGAAAGGGGAGGCCCGGAACCGGCCCGGGTAACCCCGGGTCTGGGCCGGGTCTCGATTCTTAATTTTTTTTTTTGGCTTTTCCTAATTAGACCCAACCCTCACCCCCAAACCACCCCAAACCACCTCAAATGGCCCATCATACCCAGCCCAATCCAAAAACTTCAAAAAATTCAAAAAAAGAAAAAAGAAAAAAAATAATAATTTGGCCCGGACCGGCCTCGAATCGGCCGAGCCGGTTTACGATTTAGGAGGCCCTGGCCCGGCCCGCCTACCTCACCGGACCGGGTGGCCCGAACTGGGCACCAACCGGTTCACCGGGCCGGTCCGGGCCCGCACAGTAGCGGGCCGGTCCGGTTCTGGGCCGGTTGGCCCGGCCCAAGTCCACTCCTAACCACCACACCCCAAACTCCTCCAAAACACCTAGGCCAACCCATTTACCTTTTAAAAGTTTTGAAAAACAAAAAAAATAAATTTGGCCCGGAATGGGCCTGAACCGACCGGTTTGTGATATGGGAGGCCCGGGAACTGCCCCTCTACGGAACGGGGCTGGGCCGTAACAGTATCGGTTTGGCCGGTTACGGGCCGGTTAACTCGGCCTGAGTCCATCCCTAATTGGAAGAGTTTCGTGTTGAGCAGGAAATTTTAACTAAACTAGTTCTGATTTCTGCATCAGGTCCGGCCTGATTCTAATTTTTTTTTCAGCCTAGTTTTTAAAATGTTGATTCAGGAAAACAAGAGTCCAATTCGGTTTGTATGGGTGGTTTTGGTCTGAAATCATAAAAACAAATGATGATTCAAATATGATTTTTGCCATTCCATTTTTTGCCACAAACTTGGTTGGTTGATGACCTTTCCTGCTAAGCTCTCCCAATTAGTCCTCCTACAGAACTGGGCAACTAAAGAAGTGTCTCCAATTTTCGATTGCAGATTCCAACTGGTTCAAACAAGTTCTGTTTGAGCTAAAATAGGAACATAATCAACCCTGGCCTGATTTTGATTCGGAGTTAGTGTTTTAGTATAACTCAACTGTGTACTCATTTTTAGGCTGGAATAATTCAAACCAATCTAGATCATACTCTTATTAGATTAGACTACAAGAATTCAATTCAAGTGCAACCATATTTACTCATTTTTTTACTCCCATGTCTATAGATTTTTTGAATATGGGACGTAAAAAACGTTGTTATATAACAAAATGAAGATACTATTTGACAAAAGATAAGTATTTTTGTCAAATGAATACTTCACTATTTCAGATTTGTATTTATAATGATATATATTCATATTGTGATTCAATGAATGTAAAGAAGGTCCATAATCAGGATTCAGGCCTGTCTAGTAATTGGATTCCTATGAGGGAAATTCTAATGAGTTTTTTCCTAGACTACTACTAAAATAGAATATTACATAAATAAAAAGATGATTGAGAATGTGATTAAAGTTGCTATGAGTATCAATATAGTGTAAAATCAGAGACCGTCCTGGGAGGAGGGCAGCAGGGGCAAGGGCCCTAGGCCAAAAAATACGGAGTATGAAAAATAGGCCCAACATATTTGTTTTATTAGGGCCCTAGCCACTATTTTAATCCAACCAATGGAGCCCGGTAAAAAGAATAGTAAACAAATCATAAAAACATGAGAAGTTCCCCGCACTTTTACTTTTACAAATCTTCAATTTTGTCATTCTACGTTTGGTGTGTCGCATTTTAAATTCCCGATCTATGTGTTTTTACTTACTACATTAATTCATTATGAGTTACTACTCCGTAGTTATGATGACTTTTACTTTTCATTATAGAATTTAGAATTTTAATTGTTGACTTGTGAATCGTGAAGTACTTAAATTTTGAATTTGTTCATACTGCTGTTTGATCCTGAATTTGTGTACTTTAAGTTTGTTGGAATGTTAAATACGGAGTATCATTTCGTGAAATAGTGAAATTGTGAATGTGTTTTAGTTTTTCTAGTTAAAAATGGTTTTTTTTGAAAGGATCTAGTTAAAAATGGTTATGAAATAGAATTGTGATTTTGTGATAGTATTAAAATTTCTTCCGTAAAAATTTAAAATTTCATTAAATTTATAAGGTTTAATTGATTTCAAAGTGTACTAAAATTGGATGAATCTGAATGAGATATAGTGAAAAAGAGGAGAAAAAATTATCATTATTGTTTTTAAAAATTAGGCCTATTACAGATCACTCGCCCCTAGGCCTTGAAATCGGCAGGACCAGCCCTGTGTAAAATTGAATATAATGTAGCAATCAAAACTTACTAATATAATCACTTTGTATATTTAACAATTAATTAGGATTTATAATTGATTGTGACTAGTTATAATAGACATTCATTCTATTCAAACTCCTAACTATAAAACATTGAGAATCAATATTACTATTTCTTGGTTTAATCATATCAAATTGACACTATCAAAGCATGCCCCGAGCAATATATGTGTTTATTAAATAGTCGTTCTATAAATACTAAATTATAATATTCTACATTTTTATACTACAATAAAAAATTAGAAAATTCAAACAACAGAAAACAAGGAAGAGTACAAAAGCAAAACAATCACAACATTTACCTTATTACGTTTTTAATTAAAATTCTTAGTTGATTTTGATGTAACAGAAAAATATAATCACAACTTTTTTAAAAATCAGACCCAAAATAAATTTTATTTTATTTTATACTCCTAAATCAGTTTTTTTTAAATACCATGTTTAATCCTATCATGAGATTACTCAATATTTACTCATATTATGAATATTTTCTTAATTATAAAGTATAATAATAATGATAAAAGATTTTTAAAAAGAATATTTGCTCATACTAATGATGTAATAATAAAAGTTCTTTTTAAATTTGGAAGACACGTGTCTGATAATAATCCTCTTATAGCCGGCCTCATCGATAATATATACACTACTAAAAAACCTCGGTATAGGCACATATTTTGGCTCGGATAACCCCTTAAAATTCTCAGACTATCGCTCTTGGCTCGGAAAACAAGCCTGTGCCACCTGGGCCGATCCAAACGCGTTGGCGCGGAATATAGAATCTGTGTCAGCACTTGGCACGACCTTTGTCTAGAATTTCGTGTCCCAAACTTAGCATCCAAATTCATCAAAATTTGGCACGGATATCCTTTGCCTCGGATAGTAAGAACCCAACCGATTCAGTTTATATCGGTTTATGGATCGGATAAATCCGTGCCAAATAGTGTACTATGTATAAAAAAACGTATACCGTACAAAAATGAAATGTTTTTGACCATACATAACATTTCACATTTCACATATTCAACACCACATACATGCACAATAATCACAATTCACAACCACAAGCATAACATAAATTGTAATAAGCATAACATTAATAAGCAGTTGAAAGAAAAAACTGTAAAACTGTAAGCAGTCCAAGCAAATGGCTAAAAAGCCATTACAAGCAGTTAAAATAAAAAAATTGTTCAGAGTTGGGGGAGTTCAATTAGCAGCATTAAAAATATCATCCATGAGAACTTCATTAGAGTCGTCTAGAAGGTTGTTTATTCCGTGAGGGATCGGTGTTCGGAAAGCTGAGAACTCGGGCAGCGGGACACTCGGGTTGACGCTCCGCACCTGCTCCAAATACGACATGAACGTATTCGTCATGTTGGTCATATGGGTTTGCCAAATCTGCTGCTGCTGGGCAAATCGGGCGTCAACCTGCTCCTGAATGCGGGCAAATCGGCTCGGTCCCGTGATTCGACTTGTGCAATCCATGCTGCCTGACATCACCTCATCCTCAGAACCCGTCCCAAACCGCCGCCCCTTGTACTCCGGCACCGCCTTGCAAAACAACTCCGAATCATCAACGTCAAAGGACTTCCCCTCAGATTCTGCTTAGGCCTTCAGCTCATTGTACTTTTTTTGCAAAATATTACAAACAATTATATTTAGCAAGTTGTAAACTGAGTAATAAGAATTAAAGATGCAATGAAATCACACTTCATTATCATTAGGTATGGCCAGTATAAATACATACAAGCTAGGGAATACAAAAAGGAAACTAAATCTGTCAGATTTACCTAGACTATTTAGTCTATCGCAGAGAATATATTAGCTACCATATATATACATAGAATATATTGACTATTAAATATGTATATTCTAACACTCCCCCTCAAGCTGGAGCATAGATATTAATCATGCCCAGCTTGGTACAGATGAAATTGATACGTGTCCCAGGTAGAGCCTTGGTGAACACATCTGCCAGTTGGTTTCCTGTTTTGATGTGTGAAGTGCAAATTGTACCATCTTCTACCTTTTCTCGAGTAAAGTGACAATCAACTTCGATGTGTTTTGTTCTTTCATGAAAAACAAGATTATTTGCTATATGGATAGCCGCTTGATTATCACACCATAATCTCATGGGTTCTGTTTGAGTAAATCCAAGTTCACCAAGCAAATGCTGAAGCCAAACCAGCTCACAT